CTTCTGTGATGGGCCACAGCAGGATTGAACAGAGTTAACAGAAGAACATTACTCATGTTAAGCTAGTAAGTCTATAAGTTCTCTTGCTTTCTCTTGCTTGGAAGTGCGGGTGTCCCTGATGCTTCCACACACCTGAAAGAAAGCACAGAAAACTGTGCTGTCCAAATGAATCATGGGAAGTGTAGTTTTTAAGGCTGCTGAGAGTTTTTATCAGACCACTGTTCCCCACACAGAGCTACAGTTCCCAGAGTTCCCTAGGAAGAGGAATTGGTTATTAAACCGTTCTGAGAAATGTATGCATGTGACTCTCAGCTTACCCAAGGGTTACATTCTGGGGGACAGTACATAAAGCCAAAATCATGTATCGTCAAAACACATTTGATGCAGTAGTTGGTGGGAGTGCCAAAGTCTTTCCCCAGAGAACCACTAGCTTTCCACCCCTTTTAAATTGTTTTTTTAAAAAAATTGCCAGGCAAATATGCACACAAGTTAAATATGCATAAATTGTGTATGCTCAGATGGGGCCTAAGACTTTAAAAAAAAATGTAAGCAAGTACTTTTATTTTGGATATGTTTCATAGCTTGAATATGTTTCTATAGATTGTCTTCAGGCTTCCGTTTGTGGATATACTAGCCTGGTACTTAATCCACACTTTCTCACACAGGTGACTCCTTTTCTGAAATAGCTTCACTGGATTCCTGTTGCTTTCTGGGTCCAATTCCAAGTGCTTAGGTTAGGACCAGGATATCTTCTTCCATATGATCCAGCCTACATAGTAAGATTTGATGGTGAGGCTCCACTTCAATCATTACTAATGAGATCTGGTTGAGATGAAGGTGGTGGCCTTCTCAGTAGCCAGGCCCAAAATTGTGGAACTCTGGTCTGAGGGAGCCTCAGCCCTGAGCCCTCCCTGATGGCTTCCCACCACCACCACTTTGCAAAGGCTTTTCTTTTCCAGCAGACCTTTCTCTTGCCAAACATTTTTTAAACCTCTGTTTATTGGAGGATTTCTTTAAACACTTGCTCTTCTCTCTTTATCTTTTATCTTGTGGTTTTATCTCGCAATGTTCTCACTTTAATTATTCTAAGCGCCTCAAGCATTTTAATAGAAAGATAAAGGAATAAATTATGACAATTAAAGTGATGGTTATCATTATTCCTGAGGCTATAATGCCTAATGCAATCGTATGCATGTCTACTCAGAAGGAAGCCACTTTCACTTCAATGAGGCTTACTCTCAGGTATGTATGAACAGGATTGTAGTTGTAACATATTTTTGTTGGGTGCAAAATAACACATTTTGTTTGGTTTACTTGCTGATTCCAAGTAAGGAAGGTGGGTTCCATGTTTTTTTCAGAACAGTGTCTGCTTAAACCACTGTGTGTGAGGCAAATAATATATTTAAAGCTCTAAGTACTTAAGACCTGATGTGCCTGTCATCTTTGTCAATGCATTTCATGAGGAACTAGGAGATAAACAGCACTCAAAAGTGTCGTTTTTGTTCAGTTTACAAACTTTATGGCAGATCCTTTCAGAAATTCACCAGAGAAAAGAATTTTCACCAGCTGTCAAGGGAAACAGAAACTAGGCATGAAAAAAGCATAGTAAGCTATTGCGTTGGCTATTAAGCAGAAAAGTGGATCATAAGGGCAATAGAACAGTTGTTCAGAACTTAACCTTGCAGTCCCCTGATCTGGAGACTGCAGCAAAGAAGGCTAATCTGCAGGCAAGTTAGGGCAGCTTATATAGGCTGTGGCATCATTCCAAGAGCAAGGATTTCGCACACAGGGCTCCTTTCTTCTGGTCCTGCCAGCACAAGTGAGCCAATAATGTCAAAAAGAGTTTCTCTTTCCCAACAAATAGGGTCAATTTACCTTTCGTACTATAAAGGCACCTCACTGTGCTTTATGAACACGACAAAAACAAGCGTAATCTGCTGAATGCTCCTTTAAAAAAACTCAGAAATGGCAGTAAGGAAGGTAGCAGAGTCCCAGGTTTGAGCATTTTTAAAGGGACAGCCACATTCTCTTCACTGCAATTTAATAAGCATTCCATATCTGAGCATCTGTCAGAGACAAAAGGTAAAGTGAGATCAGCCCATGGCGACATGAAACATTTTGTTTCCCAGACAGGGTAATTATTTCTGTGTCTGAGGAAGGCTCCAGAGCCCTCTGTGTGTAAATGGAATTTACACACATGAAGTTATTCTGCAGTTTAGGAGAAGGAAGGAGAAAGGCCAGCCTCCACTGGTCCCTTCCCTCTCAGATTGTGGGTGCTTCTAGCAGAGTATTGTTGTGGGATTAGTACTCTTCATGCATGCAAATTTTGTGCATCATATAATGATGATGGCATCACAATTACAGTCCATATTCCCCACCCCATTTAATCCAGATTTATCCTTTCAGGGGGAAATCCAGTAAATAACACCCCGTCACCCCCCAAAAAAACCCCATAACCCTGTTGTCAATGACAATTTGCAAATTAAGCCTCTGTGTGATAGTCAATTATGTGGCTTAGCAGAGGAAGCTAGACAAAAAACAAGCTTTCCCATAGCCTGCCTGGCCGAAGAACCATCAAGTCCTTTCTGTCTTGGACTCCAGCATTTGCCAGCAGCCACTCTACAGCAGACAAAAGGCAAGAGAGACTTTTCAGCTGGCCATTGTTAAGCTAAAGAATTTGCTCCTTCAAGATATAGTGATGGCCACCAGTTTCGATGGCTTTAAAGGAGGATTAGATACATTCATGGATGATAAGGCTATCCATTGCTATAAACCTTGATGGCTATGTTCCACTTCCACTGTCAGAGGTTGTACGCCTCTGAATACCAGTTTGCTGGAACCAGAAAGAGAGGAGAGTGCTGTTTTACTTGGGAGCAGCTTGCAGGCTTCCCATAGGCATCTGGTTGGCCACTGTGAGAAGAGGATGCTAGACCAGATACACCTTTGGTTTGATGCTGCAAGGCTTCTTGTTATGTTCTTACGTGGTCTGCTTGGGCAACTGTTCACCATGGCTTTCTACTGTTGATTCTCCTTCCCTTTTACTCTCTTTTGTTTTCTTCGGTAAGACCGTAAATCTTCAGGCAGTGGGCACAATCTGCACTTTAAAGGACGGTTCATGCCCACATTATTTTTCAAAAGTAGAAATGTCTTACAAAAAACAACAACTCCCTACTCCTGAAATACAAGTTGTCCCTGAGTGAGGATTTTAGATTGCACATATGTATCTGGCTAAAGTTGAAATGATAAAAATACATCATAGGATGCAATTATTTTTGCATGACACAATAATTATCATTGCTCTGAAGTGTTCTGAAGAGCCAAAAAAATCAGTGCCTTCCCCTTCAGGTGAAACATTTTGCAATATGTCAGGAAGAGGACTCCAGGCATATTCTGATGTGTGGAACGCAGGAGTGGCAGAAGGAACAGTAAAGACACACATTAATCTTAACAAAGTATAATTCTGAAGCTGACTAGAATCCTGAGTTCTTGGCATAAAGGGGCAATTTTTAAATGATGCACCAGACTCTTAGCTTGCTTTTGTTTTGTGTTTCATAACTTACTCTCTCACACATTCATTCAAATCTAATCCCTAGGAGCGCTACACAAGGTAAGATCAACCTACATTAGAAAAGTGTTGAAATTTTGCCACAGGTGAATTTGTCATTTTTGTCAGGTGGAACCATACTGAAAACAGACAAGAGAACAGCCTGGAACTTCACAGTTCTCTTTCAGTTCTAGAAACTTCTTCATCACAGTAGACACAACCTGACATGTACAGAGGTGTCCTGTGCTGTGTGGTGACTGATCACAGAGGAGACCTGTGCATGGGAGAAACTTCTGGAATTGCCAGACTTGAACCTGAAGGTGTATGATAAGCTTCAAGGAGGAGCTGGGCGTTTTATAATCCAAAATGGATTTCAAAAGCAGAATATTTGGTAGTGGACACCTGAATAGAAAAGCTTGCTCCACCAAACTTTTCCTGGAATGGGAATAAAAGAATGTGCCCATCAGTAACTGAAGGCTTCTCCCCAAATCCTGTGAAGCTTGGCTGTGCTGGGCAGGGGACACTGTGCTTCTATGAGGATGAAAGGGAATTGGCAGAATGCAGAACCTAAGATCCAAGTTGGTACATAGAGCTCTATGAATTGCCATGAAGCTGATATCAACAGCTTGGACTGGCCCAAGACCATTTGCTGCCTGAAGTGAAGAATCAGATGGCATCCAAGGCCAGGCATCAGGGGCCCCCTTTGGCCTGAAGCTACTGATCCTGCCCCCCCCAACACCCATATACCCACTCTCCCAATGAGGTACGGTTTTGTTAAAAAATTATCTGTTGCTATGCAGCAGCAGCTGAGCTTGTGCATTTTGGGTAAATTAAGTTGGTAGACAGCCACTGCAGACAGGAGCCAACCTTAGTTCCCATTCAAAAGCAGCAGCTCTGTCCACCCACTGCTGAAATGGTCACCCAGAGGTTGTTAAGTGGCAACACAGCCGTGTCAGGCCGGTGAGGGGCAGCTTGGAGCCCATGGGGCCCTCTGCCAGTGCCCAACCTGAACAGCCACTGATGCCCAGTCTGATGCCACCCCCTCCCGTTCCACATGCAGAAGCGGATGGGATTGGCAGAGGAATCTTACTTCAAGGCTTGTGGCAGGACAGTATCCTATGCTGCAGATCAGCAGACTGTCTTAGGGGATGCAGGACAGACCATGTGGTACACATAGCTCTGTTTGCCAACGTCTTACCAATGCTCCTTGCTTGCTGGTCTCTACCTGCTTCAGCAACCAGCTCCCCTTCCCTAACTGTAGAGAAGCAAACCAGGACTATGAATTTCTGCCTGTTTCAAAAGGCATTGGCTTTTAGTGTAACTGAGCAGCAAGTGTGTTTTCTCCCCTGCCTCTACAGCATGGGAGATACCTCTGTGATGAAAACTGCAGGCTACGCTGCCTTTTTAATACCTAATTTCAAGTTATACACACACACACAAAAATGACTATTGGCAATTTTATTTATACTAAATTAAACTTTATTGACTAAGGTTTGCTCTCCAGACAAGGTGATTTGATGAACTATGGCGGCATACATGCAATCAATGAGCTTGGCAATGGTTTTAACATGGAATGTCACACAACTTAGTAAAAACCTAGCATATTAACCCAAAACTCTGTACTGGTACACAATGAAACCAAGGCTATGTTCCTTGTGGAACTGTGTTGAAGTATAAGGCACTGCGGTTGAAAAAGAAAATAAAAACTGATATATTTCCTTAGCATATATTTCAAATAAATTAGAATTGTACTCTTTCAGCCTCACTTACACCCCAAACAAAAAAAAATTATGTGCAAATATCAAAGCTGTCACTGAGAAGGAATGAACTATCAAAATTGAACTGAACCATGTTATAGTTAAACTGATTTGTAAGTGAATGACAAGCAAGATATGCTTGTTTCTATAAAAACAGATGTAGGCATCATATTATTAGTACAGCTCAAAGCCGTTTGTATAAGGGTCCATTCACACAATCCACTGAGGTTGCAGTTATCAAGTGCTTTCTTTCACATTCCTTTGTTCCATCAATGATGGGATCTATGATGCGTAACCCTAAACTATCATGTGGTAACTGCAGTTACTGTGTGATTTACATGGATGTGTAAATTGTACCCAAGTCTCTCACATTATTGGCAGGCTAACACTCCCCCTCCCCCCCCCCAGTACTATCATCTCTGTTATTCAAGCATAAGTTAAAACAAGTCAGAGAAATGGACTCAGTAACCTAGCAGGTTTCTTCTTCCTTAATTTCTTTTATGAAGCAAAATAATCGAGAACTTCTGAAGCATGTGACTTTCGGTGTTCTACTCACAATTCAAGCAATGCTTCTATTTGGAATGCAAGTGGAAGTTTTTCAAAGGTTGTCAGGGCTTGGTTCTTAAGATGGCATTCGTATTTTGTAAAAATGGTAAATTATCCACTACAGGATACATGGGAATAATATTAAGATTCGTAAAACTAACATTTGACTTGTTTGAACTGCTGAAATTATTTAATGTAAACATCATAGTGACCCATAATATCCCAAAATGCTTAAGAATTTTTGTGTGCATATTAGTTTGAGAGTTCATCGACTCCCGGCACCCTTGTCTTTAAAAACAACACAGAAGTAAACACAGATATAAGGGTTCCGATGTATGCACAGATCTCTCTATTAAACAGCAGTTGTAATTTAACTGGATATGTGCATATCAGGGCTCTGGAAAGGGTTGGTGGGGCAGTGACTAGACCTAACCCCAAATGCTGTTGAACTTAGTGGAAGTGTTCCCATCAATTTTAACCACAGTCTAGTTGCTGGGATTCCATCTTCACCATTCACATCTCATTTACGTTAATAGAATTCTGTCATAAATTGGTTTGCTGACAGCAGACAGCATTAAACAAACACAAATTAAACAAATAAAAATGGCTTCAGTGTCCAGCTTTACATTTTACACCTGGGAATGGGTGGCAGGTGCTTGTGATTGTAAGATAACAAGCAATGATGGTGCAGACCAGGGCTTCCAACCTACACTATCAATTAGATTGTTCTGTCTGAAACCCTGGGAACAACTGGGCAAAGCATAGTGGGTGGGCCTTAACTGAAATGTAGATTGATTGAGGGATTGATTCCAAGGAATTAAATGATTGAATGTATAGACACAGACAAGTTTATACCAGGAAATTTTCCTTCAAAGTGCACATTAACAATGGAATGTTCTTTATAGGAAAATGATCAAAATCTGACTTAAGACTGCCAGTTATTCAATAAAAGAATACCATCTCCATTTCATCCTGACCAAAAGAATTTTCTCAGATTTAACTTTTGTTTTTAGTATAACAAAAACAAAACTCTTTAGAAAAATCAGCATATTATACACACACATATCCAGGCATTTTATAACCTTTTCTAAAACAAAACAAAACAAAACAAAACAAACCCAAACCCAGCTACTGTAATGTTGACTAAGTTTTAAAAAAATTAAAATTAGCATTTAAAATTTTAAAAACTGACTACTTTAAATACCAACATGTGCTGTATGTCTCCAAATCACCCCAGCTTCCCGCTTAAAAAAAAATCCCAATGTTTTTTGTTTGTTAAAATCTCCAGGCTGAGATTGTTAAAGTACCACCTCCAATGGAACTGCATGAACACCACATGTGCATCTTCTAATGCATTTCATATCATAGTTGTGTTAAGTATTACTGTTGCTACAGAGGGTTAGATCTCCAGATCATCAGGTCGAGGTCTGCTGCTGGCTCGACTGCTAGCTCTGCTTGGAGGCCGTTGGTCTACCACCTTGAGAGGTTGTAGCTCATGCCCAGAGCCCATTTTTTTCGTGTTCTCAGGATCATCAGGGAATTCAAAGGGCTGGGCATGTGAATTGGAAATGGTGCTCCCAGCCTGTCCGATCCTGTTCTGCTCAGCGCTGTAATTTGCCCAGTTCTGTTCGCTGGCTTGCTTATTGTAGTTACGGCAGGAGGACGAATTGTTCCTGTCTCCAGTAACCAGCTTGTATCCTGGCGGAGACATGGGCGACAAGGGGGCAGTTGGAGAGGAGCAGCCATTGAAGTAGGCATATTTTGGGGATCCACATTCCTTGGAGGGGCTCATGCCACTGTTAGGAGAGAAAGGGTTGCTTTTTGTCTTCATGCGATCCTTGATGCTCTTGAGGGTGACGTAGAAAATCTCAATGATGTTCAAGCTAAGGGAGACGATAGACACCACCAGCATGAAGATGATGAAGATGGTTTTCTCCGTGGGTCGGGAGAGGAAGCAATCCACCTTGTGTGGGCATGGATATCTCTCACACGTGTAGATGGCGTGCAGGGTGAACCCATAGATGTACCACTGTATGAGCACGAATGCGACCTCAAAGAAAGATTTGAAGATGATGCTGATGATGTAGGTGCGAAGCAGCCCTCCGCGCATCTTGACTTTGCCATGCTCTTCAATCCCATACTTGAATTTCTTGATTTCTATTTGTTTGAGGTGGAGGTCTACGTTGACCCCTTCACTTTGAACCACCTTGAGCTCTTCTTCTCTCCTGTTGAGCTTCTCTTCCTTCCGCATCACGTAAAATACGTGTGCCAAGTACATGAGGGTTGGCACGGACACAAAAATGAACTGCAGGACCCAGAAGCGCACATGGGAGATGGGAAATGACTTGTCGTAGCAGACGTTTTCGCAACCAGGCTGCTGGGTGTTACACCGGAATGCTGACTGCTCGTCTCCCCAAGCAGACTCCACAGCTGTCCCCAGCAGCAAGATTCGGAAAATGAAAAGGACAGAAAGCCACACCTTTCCTCCTGCGGTGGAATAGGCTTGGACTTTGTCAAGGAGCCTTCCCAGAGCACTCCAGTCACCCATCTTCACTGCCTGCTACCTACAGAGAAACAACAAAAATTGCTCAAGTATTGCGTGCTGTACAGTCAAAATAGTGTGCTCTTAAAGGGAGATGCATGAGTTTGTCACACCTGAATCATGGATTGCAAGAGATATGGTAGCAAGTAGAGCTAAAACACAGACTAGAAAATCTACCACTTTCATAAATATGAGTCTAGTTCTAAGTGCCCATAATTCTAGTTCTGAGCATTCTTAACTGAGTCTCAGCAATTTCACATTTGTTTATGTAGTTTATTTCTTTTCATACTATAGATCAAGAAAGAGATGGGATCTGTGACCTTCTGCATACCATGCATGTGCTTCACCAGTAAGTTTACCATCCCAAACACTGATCATGTACCCAACAGATGTTTGTGGGTCATTAAGACTGTAGCCCCTGTCCTGAGCACCTAACATACAACAGTGGGATTTGTAGACATAATTCCACACTGATTTTTCTGCTGGGACAGGTGGCTGGTGCTGTCAGCTTGACAGTGTTCATAACTCATGAAGAGAGGGAGAGACAAGGTGCCTGATATCATTCCCCAAAACAAGTGATTGGTGACATTACATTGTGGTGAATGTTGGAATTTTGCCCCTGGGTAGCATTGTTTTGTGCATGAAGGGTTTCATCAAGAGGCAGAAACCATTTGCGGGAGCTTTAACATGTAGGTCATCCTGGTTGCGTGGGGTGACTATGAATGCAAAGTAGATTTGCAAGCCACAAGTGTTTAAATAGAAAGTTATGAAGCTTGTATTTGAAAGGCTTCCTTTTTCTTCATTCTATCCGAGAGAGAGCCATTCCACTGTCAAGTAATAACTTCTTGATTTCATTAACTAGCTTGGTGCTGATGTTAAAATATGCCATTATCAGACTTCCCTCCAGGCTTAATGGTGTTTTGTTTTTTTCACAGCATAGTGTTATTTCAGATTGAAAGTATGACTGAAAACAAAAGAAGCATTATTGCTAGAAAGTTTTGGATTATTTGTTTTTAATAACATTCCTCTGTGGCCAATTAATATGGGAAGATATATTCCAAGTCTTAGCTGTTTAACTCTATGTCAGCAATATTTCTTTTCAAATTATCAATAATTTTAAAGTTTGTTTTAGTAGTCAAAATGAAGTTTGATTTTTTCTCTAGGCTATACTGTATTTACTTCAGGAGGAAGCATTCCTTGGGTGAATTACTAAAAACACAAATATTTTTCAACAAAACTATTCACTGCAAATATCCCTAAAGCTCTGCTAGTAGGTCATCAGAAGATTCTAAAGAGATACAGTTTTAAAGAGACAAGGAATCCTATCCCCCTTTGGGGGAAATTAGAATGGTATCCAACAACTAAACAGTTACTCTAACGCAACAACTTTTAGCTGCACAATATGACTTCCCCACCCTCTCCTCTCCCTCTACACCTCCTAGATCTGCTCTGGGGTTTCCCTCAACTCTCCTGGGCAGCTTTAGAAGGGCGTGGGGTACATATGTGGAGAGGAGGCGACTCAGAAGTTGCACTGCACAGTGAAAAGCCATGGCATTAGTGTAGATCTTTAGTTTATTTAATTTTTGAGTGACACTATTTTGATTTAGCAACTAATGAACGAACTCTGCAATTCACAGCATACTTGTTGGGAAATGTGCTCTGTTGAACACAGGGTGGCATTTTTCAGTCAACATGCATGGGATTGAATGGTTTGCATTGAATGGTTTGATCCTGAGCACAAGTCCTGGGTAACACAAGAAGAACTCTGCTGGATCAGATCAAAGGCCAGCATCCTGTTCCCCAAAGTGGCCAACCAGATGCCTCTAGGAAGCTCTACAAGTGGGACATGAGAGCAACGCTGCCTTTGATCCTGCTGATGGCATGTGATCATTGTGAGGAAAGGCCATGGTGAATACACCATGGAAGTAACTCTTGGAATAATATCCACCTTAGCTTTCATATTATAATCCCCACTGAGGACTGAATGTAAATAAATATCAAACCCTGATCCTAAATGTTTAGGTTGGCCCACCTATGATGTTAGCTATGTTCCTAACATGCTGTTCCTGCAGTGCTGGCATAAAATCATGCTTTATACTTGTCACACCCTGACTTAATCTCTTATGTAGCAACACACTGCAGCATAAATGGTTTTTAAGCATGACTTTCAAAAGCATCTTAATTTCTTGCAAGTCACTTGTTCCATGTTCGAATATTAACAATGCAGGATTGAAAGTGGAAGAAAGCCAACACTCCCTAGCCCATGAAGGTTTTATATTTGCATGGCAGACTTGCAGGGCCAGCCCAAGACACTCTGCTGCCTGAGTCAGAGCATCAAATGGTGCCATTTCCTTCTGGCTCAAGTTGAAGTACATAAAAATTAGTCTGAGATCACAGTCAGAAAATCCCACAAGCACCTTTCCTCCTCCATGTCAGTAAAAATACAGTAACAATAAATCTGGGGTTATATTTTAGGAACTTTTACCCCGAGTAAAACTTAATGACCATGGCTAACTTTGGTTCATTAATGTCAATGGTTCTACTCTGAGTAAAAGTTGGTTGAGCACAACCCTCAGTAACTAGCAAATTGCTGTCTTTTCAGGACACCAAAATCAACTGCCTATGACAGCTACCTCATTCTGCCTAATGGTAGGGCAGGTCCAGGAGAAATAGAAAATCCCATTTAGTCTCCGTCAATTCAGGATAGATCTCCAAGTCCTATACACACTTACAAGGGCATAAGCAGCATTGAACTGAATGGGACTTCTCAGTACAGTGGTACCTCGGGTTACATACACTTCAGGTTACAGACTCTGCTAACCCAAAAATATTACCTCAGGTTAAGAACTTTGCTTCAGGATGAGAACAGAAATCGTGCTCCGGCGGCGCAGCGGCAGCAGGAGGCCCCATAAGCCAAAGTGGTGCTTCAGGTTAAGAACAGTTTCAGGTTAAGAACAGACCTCCAGAACGAATTAAGTTCTTAACCTGAGGTACCACTGTAAACATTAACAGGATTATTGATCTTTTGAAGTCATTTGATTGGGAAAAGTTAGCAGAATAACCAATTGAACTTCGATATTTCCAAATAAATGTGGCTACAATTCAGGAACCAATCGCTGAAAAACCAACTAATGATTTGGCAACGTATAGTTTGGGCAGGTGGAATCCCAGTTTTGTCTGCAGTGGTTTGCAGTGTTGTGCCCAGTGATGACAAGAAGATTTCGGCCGGATTTCTACTGCATTCTATTTCTGCATACAGAAGGCTGCTGCGCTGCTGGCTCAGTCCTTGGGAAGTATCTGTGGAAAATGCAAGGTGCCTTTCCCTGTGCCGCAATCCGGCTCTCGCTCCGCCAGACCAGATGTGAGTTCCACAGAGTCAGCACTAGCTCTGCGTCGCTCCCTGTCAGGCACACAGAGACTTCCGGAGACCAGCTCAAGGCAAGCTTTGCATGGGGTGATCCCGAACAACCAGCCACTTCACTTGGCTGGTAGCACAGGATTATTACATCCCCCGGGGAACTCATGGAGGGAAGTTATGCACACGCTGTGGATGTGTATCCACTGCTTGTGCAACATCTCTGCTTATTTTCCTCCTTCAGAGGCACTGATGTTGTTCCACCAGCCAAACAGGGAAAGAACTGTACATTCTGCTGGCTGTGTGGGACCATCACGTCTGAAGCAACCCATACAAATAACGAGTAGCGATCAGAGGTGCCAGAACAGTAGATCCAATCTTAAAAGGGGCCTGTCCTTAGTGTCTTTTCAGAAAAAGAACATGTCATAGGAATAAAATAATGGCAGCACTACTTGGTTAGCGTTTAAGTGACCATATGCAGGAAAAATTTGATCTGCAAACCACAATTGGGAAAGTAAGCTGTGCCGTGTGCCATAACTTATGGCTCATGTTTTCCAGGGCACAGAAGACATTTTCAGTGTTCTAGGATGATGACTGAGCATAATGTCAGAAGGTCAGAAGGAAGGATTTGTCATGGTCCTGTGGGATTGTGGTGGGGAGCATGTGCGCATATTGCAGTTGGCTGGCTAGTTCTTTGGTTCACATGAAATCCTACAGAAAAAACTGGGACTACTTGTGCTTTCAGCCAGCTACCTGTTGGAATTCTAACAGAGTACAAGCATGTGAGATGTAGGCATTTCCAAAGAGTAACCAGGACACAATAAAGAGAGGGTCAGAAATTGCATGAGAACTGCTTAAGAAAAGATATGGGTAGTGATTTACCAACGAGGACCAGGCTGGATATGGAAAATCTGGTGAGCAGAGAAAAATAGCAGAAAATTTCACATGCAAGCCGGAAAAGACATTTTGCCTAGATCTACAGTTGTTGGGGTTTTTTTTTAAAATATCTAAGGACCCAAAATGCCTTTCCTACTGTCCAACAAGGCTACAAACCCAGCTCCAGCTGAGACACTAAGGGTCTTAAATGTGTAGGATTTCACTACAGAGGCAGTGGGCTGCAGTGGTTACAGCAGTGTGCTTGGGCTGCACAGACTCAGGTTCAAATCCCATTTGAACTACAAAGAACACTGGGTGTCCTTGGGCCAGTCACCTTCTGTCAGCCTGAACTACCCATCAAGTTTGTTGTGAATATTCAATGGGAGATAAGGAACCTTGCATACCTCCTGATCTCTTTGGATCAAGGTGAGATAAAAAGAAATGCAATCAATCACTAAAGGGACTACATTTGGGACCAAAATCAGTATGCAGAGAAATGGGACAATAAGGCTCTTCCCCTTCTTTAGTCCCAAAGTTGAATCTCCAAGGTCTGTCCAATAACTGAGAGCAAGGTTTTTTTCCACACTTTTACCAAAGCATGAGATCAACAGGGAGTCCAGCTAACACCTTGAAGATTAAGGCATAAGGCGCCAAGCTCCTTTGTTAGATGCAGGGAGAGTCAAATGCAAGGAGCAAAAGCAGCATGAGGAGTTTCAACTGTGGTACTGAGGTCAACAGCTAAGGAAGCCCTGTAATCATTCATAAAAATGCCTGCAAACAACATATCAGATAGCCCAATCTAAGCATGTTTACTCAGAAATATTACTTGGTGGTGAACAGATGTCATCCATGCAAGTGCCTTTCTACTCAACCCCAAAGAGCATTTCCTTGAAAAACAGCTTGTTTTTCAGGCCAGATAGGAGAGCCATTGTCTGCTGGATGGAGCTCTGCGTTTACTTGATTGGCATCTGTTTGAGTGCGTGCATCTTTAAGCAGTAGTAACTCTGAGTAAACCACTTGACTCTGTGGGACTGACTGTGTAGGATATGGGGAGTCAGACTGCAATTCTGAGCTCATTTCTACTGCAAAGTTATATCAGCAAGACACTCACCAAGGAAGACCCATTAAATACAGGAGGATTGTGCTGCACATCTCCCTGAAATAAATTCTGAGCAAAGATACATAGGCCCCTTTGCTTCTTTGCTCACTTAACCACTCTCTAAGATTGCTTTTCCGTAAGGCTCACTTTCCACCCCGTCATATAAAATGGGAAGCATCCCACTTCATAGAGCTTCTCTGAAAGGATGAACAGTACAGTTCTTTTGCACGCTTAAAAGTGCTGAACAATAATTGCTAATGATTGCTGCTTTATCATGGTTGGTACAGAGTGCATTATTCTTAAAATCTCAGATTTTTTCCCATCATCTCCCCTTGACCCTTTCAAATTCCGCCTGTTCATCCTTCTCCCATTTGTATTCTAGTTAGGTATCATGGCTCAGCGCCAATGTTTAGCTTTGAACATGGCCAACCCCCCCCCCCCCAACCTCCAGCAAACATTACTGTAAACAGTTTCAAAGTCTGGAGGCTTCAAAACTCCAGATGTTAATATGGCTGAATGGAAGCTCAAGGCAGGTCAGCTCCTTCTCTCTCCCGCCCCCCCCCCCCAGCTCCTTCCTCCCTGAGAAACAAACAGATTTCTGAAATCACAGAGACATGTTCCTCTATTGGTTGACCTTGTTGGCGTTAACAAATCTCTCTGTGAACATTCTTCTGCTTCTAAAACACAATGCACCAGACTGAAGGACTAGCAATGTATACGACAGCAGAACCTGATCGGAGAGGTGAAACTGGGCATAAAAGTGTGCGAAAGTTGAAAGGGGGGGAAAGTGATGTTAAAAATCCACTTTTGTTGCCTTGAATTAGTTCTTCCCTTCCTGACAAGAAGCTTACTCATAGCAGGGACTCTGAGAGCCGCCCCGCTATACCTTCAAAAGGAAAAAAACCAGCTTCAGGGTAGATCCCAAGACTCTTTCCTTTCCAATCCTACACTATGGTTTTCATAAGAGGTTGCAAGGAATGTAGCTTGATGCAGACAGAGACCATATTCTCTGAAAGACTTTGGTAATACGCAATTTCAGTCTAGAGTAACCAAAAGGTTTCGCAAGCATTGCCAGTCTGCGGTGATATAAGATCCCTTCCACACAGTCCACATCTGGGGTTGAACACTAACTGTACAGATTCCCTTGAAATCCCCTCAATTTTTAGCTCAATTGTTCAAAATAGAAAATAAGGAGGAAATAAGCAAAGGCCGCCTGAAAGACATCCCGTTACGAGTTAACAGAAGCCCATGCAGCATTTGAACAAAGCCCCTAATTAAGGACCTTGCATTGTATGAACTATTAAAGACAAGCCATGATTTCCATATGAAAGTGAAATGTGTGTACGCGTGTGTTGAGAGGGGGTACTTGGAAATACTTGAGGTAGGATCTAACTGCCTTAACTTGGTGACCCTTTCAAAGCAACTGAGAGATCACAATACTGTTGTGGTGTGATTACTGTGCCCCAAAGTTGGATGCTCTCTCCAGAGAAAGAATTTCTTTTGTTATATGCGGTGAGGTACAATAAAACAGGCTCCCTTGGTAAACGAGATGGAAAAACCTGGCAAATAAAATGTTACAGTGTGAAAAGGAAGCACCTAAATCAACTGAAATAAATGATATCTCTCCTCAAGTACATTTCTCTGATAAAATTCTGGTACATTTAAAATGTGCCCCCAGAGAGGGACACCCAGAGGAGTCCTTGCAGCTGTAACAGGATTTATTTTTTTTTAAGAAGAGTAATAAAACTCTTGCACTTAAAATATTCATTTCTTTAAAGTCTGAGGTATTCACAGTCCTCTGAAAAGATTTGCTTGGAACTAACTTGAAGTTAAAAACCCCCGCTCAAACCCAAACCCTTTTCCATCCTTACCTTGCTTGTCAGCAGTGAAGAAAGTCAAACAAAGTTCCTCAGAGGGTTAAAACTCAAAAGGCAGAAACTTCTTCAGGCACCCAACCTGTCTATTTAAACTTTAAAAGTCCCCTGCTCTTTTGTCTTGTGACGTCCTTTCCTCCCCCCTTTCCTGAAAGAAAAGTGCTGAGAACTCATTTAAAAAACAGAACAAAACAAAAACCCCTTTTTCATCCTAACTTGAAGCGCTGCAAGAGCTTTTAAAAAGTTTTCAAGCCACTAACTGTGAGGGAGGAGGAGAAAAGGAGGGGTGAAAGCATAAGAGGTGGGGCTGCCAAGGAATGGGGAGGAGGAAAGGAGGAGAGAAGACAGAAGCTGTAGACAGTATGGGGTGGGGGCAAAGTGGGGAGAGAGAGGGGAAAGGAGAGAGCATCAAAGTGGCTGAGTAAGCACAAACTTGCAAAGAAAGGGGGGTGGGATACATGAAAGAGACCGAACTGGGACGGTATCCAGAGCCGTCTTGCTGTAGGGAAGTGACACAGTTTAATTTACGGTATGAAATACAACTCTCCCAAGGTGCGTGGTTTGTCTACATCATGAATTTGCTGCAGACCAGTGGCGATGAGTTGAAGTGGATTCCTTCAGCAGCTGGCCTACAGGAATTTCCGATAGCTGCCTGGGTGTTAGTAGCAGAAGCACTGCCTCCCTAAACTGCACTGGCACCGTTTCAGGTCAATCAGACGGCGGTGCGGACTCCCCACACAGCTCTTAAGGAGTCAAAGTTTGGAGAAAGAGATGGGCTTCTTTCCACCCCCTGTGCCAATTCCTATATTCTTGTAGTTTTGTGTCTCCTTCTCGCCTCCTTTCTGCTGGATTGTCCAGTGAACTTCGCATACTGTACATAGAGAGTACTCCAGGGTGGCACAAACAAACCTTCTGCCAACGGAGCGAGGGGGAAAAAAAGGGAATACCAGCGAAGTGTTGGAAATAGGCATCTTGGCACAGGGCAGCCGGCTGCTCTGTGAACGAGGCAAGGGGTTCCTCACGCAATTCCACAGCCATGCTAAAAAAGCATCATGTGGAAACACTGAGAAAGGGGAGGCAAGCCCAAAGAAGAAATTCACCACAGCAGTTAACACAACCCATTTGCCTGGTGTTTTTTTTAAAGTGCAGAGCAGCAGATTGGTCTTGTTTAAATATGGCCTTTTCATCTTCCTTTCGACTCTGGAAATTGGTATGGGTGGACAAAAACAAATTGAACAAAACAGCTACGAAGAAGAAAAAGAACCCTGCTGGGTCAGGGATCAGTACTATTAAGTACTGTATCCTGTCTCTCACAGTGACCCAAACAAGGTGCCTTTGGGAAGCCCACAAGCAGCATTCAGATGTTACATTCAGCAGTCATGGCTGGTAGCCATTGATAGCGTTATCCTTCAGGAATCCATGCTTTGGGCCTGATTTCATTGTCTGATGGAAGTGACATTGATCCAGTAGATTGGGATCCAGTAGGTCTTGGGCTGGCTCCGCCCTGCCCTCAGAACACCTCAGAAGAAAAGAGAGTGCCCTCTCCTATTTCATATAAAAAAGCTGACTAGCCAGGCTGTGAAATCTTACTTCAACACTGGAAACAGAACAGCAGGCTAATTTGGGAGACACAGGTCAGGTCAGGTAGCACACACGGCCCTGTCTGCCAGCACCTCACCCTTGCAGACCTGCCCCTCGCTGAGGCACCTGACTCATGCTGCCTAATGGCAGAGCTGGCCCTGGGACTTCCTGATGCTGCTAGACCCCAGCTCCCATCATCACTGACTGTTGGCCATCCTGGCTGGGACTGATGAGAGTTGAAGTTCAACAACATCTGGAGGGCCACAAGCTAATCCCCCTACAGCAGAGCTTTTGCCTGACTGCAGTAGAAACCTAGACTAAAGCTAATTTTGAAAGGGGTAAAATTTTGTATATAGGTTACATAAGTCTGGCCTTTGTGTGAGTTAAAAATAAAAATGTAGATTTCCCCTTCAGTCCAAATCCTGTTTAAGCTTTGAGCTGGCAATCATATACACACTCTTCTGAAAGTAAGCTTCGTTTAACTCAGTGGGCCAACTTCTCATAACGCTGCCATACGTCTAGACATTACTGGAATTTCAAAGGCAGAAATGAATTTCCGCAATGTGGCACTTTGTCCTGGATGTTTGGCAAGTTAATCGAAAAAATGTGTGTGTTTTTTTTTAAAAAAAAGCTCAACAATTTTGGGGTCTTCATAAAAGAAGCTCAACAACTTTTGAGGTGTCCTGGTTTTTAGTTTTTGAAATATGGCGACCCTAGACTTCTCATACCCCACAAGTTTCCTGGAAAAAATGGGGCATCTTGTTTTTTCTCACGAGAGAATGGTGACCATTTTGGATGTGGTGATCTTGCACAATTTTGCACCCTGATTTTTCTCTTAAAAGAGCACTATTTTGGGGCTTTGATTTCACAAGGTGTCCCAAAATGTGCATTTTGGGGGGGGGGGAACTGTGGTGCAAAATCACACGAAATCATGGCACCCAAAATGGCAACTGTTCTCTTGCAAGGAAAAACAGGAAGATGGCATCCCGGAAGATGGTTTTTTGCTTCCAGGTGTTGGAGTGTATGACTTCTACATAGACATTAATAGGATCATGTAGTGGTTAGTGTCAGACAAGGACCTGAAGCTCAGTGGTTGACCTTGGCCCAGTCGCTGCCTCTCAGCTTAACCAACCTCACAAGGTTGCTGTGAGGATAAACTGGGGAGGAAGAAAGCTATGTATACCACCTTGAGCTCCTTGGAGGAAAGGTAGGGTATAAATGTAAAAAATTCAAACAATCAGGCAAACAAGCCACACCTTTGTGCAGTTTAAATATTCAGTCTTTTTGCTCAGTTTTTAATTAAAGTCTGCCTATAAAAATGTGTGAATTTAGCCAGTTAGTCAGGCTCCTTCACTTGCAGAGCGGCCCACATGACCTAATAACCTTTAATCCTCACTCATTGTCCATTTTCCAGATAAAATCTTCTGAGAAGGGGGTCGCTGACAGTCTTGAGTACAAACATTTGTTTATTTGGTTATCACACTCTCATTTGCTTTCCTTCTCATTCACATTAACCAGAACACAGTTTGGGGCCTGCTACCACTGGCCTGTCCATATGACTGAGGTGATGTACATATCACTTTCAGTCCCATAGCCTTGCATGGGAAGAATAGGTCTTCTCATTGTTAGTTACAGCAGGAAGAAACACCTTGTACTCTTGCCATGGTGGACAGTGGCTTGCAGCTTAAGCTGAAAGAAATGTTTGCAAATATTTTGGCAACACTTCCTATTTCGCTATTCAAATTTATAATGTAAAATTTGGAATCTGAGCACTGAATGTGCAGCTTTATCTCAGTACTTGAAAACTGAGTACTTTTGGACATCAAAATACCTTTGCACATCAACCGTCAAGGATTAAAAATCATTGTACGTCCAGTTGAAATCAAATCGTGCTCACCATTTGAGATGTAGATGTTAAACACTGCATGACTTCTTGGCAAATATTCAAAGAAGGCGGTGAATAATCAACATCAAAATGTGAGGAGGTGAAATCCGAAGTGTTTTTCTGTGTGAGGGGTCCAAGGAAAGGGCAGTGTCGTTTTCCACCAAGAATTCTTGGGACAAAACACAAAGGAGGACATTCATATTTCTGAGGACAGTTTGGAAACAAAACAAAACAAGAATTCTCTTTGTCCTGGAGCAGAACTGCTTTTGGACTGGAACCAGTCCCTTATAAACACTTGTAGAATAATTCCCTCCTTAGAAAACACTTTAGAACCGTCTTGCTGTGATACGGCTTCACATGGCCAACCTACAGATGACACAGATATGGAAAGTGTTAAATGCTGGAAGATTCGTGACTATCCTATGTGCTGTGGCCAATTAGAAGTGTCTTTTGTCCTTCCTTCCTACTGTGTTCCTACCCTTCAGTGCTGGGCAACTCCTTGGAAGGCATAACAAATATTCCAGCAGCTCATCTTGTTTGGATAGTTCAGTAAGACTATTGTTCCGTTGTATTTCTATATTTTGACAGCTGAGGATTCTTGCTCCACTGCTGGGTTTCGGGAGGTTCATCAAAGGCCCTCACCCGGATGGTGCTTGTCCTGGGCTAGCAACCTTTTGATATCATAGCACAATCTTTATAACAGACAGGCGTCGGTGTATAAGTGAAAAGCAGTCACATTTCCACTTGTTTCTCAAGCCTTACACGCATGCTGTGTTATCCAGCTGCAGTATATAATCCAAATCCATATCCACTGTTTCCAATACAGTGGTACCTCGGGTTAAGTACTTAATTCGTTCCAGAGGTCCGTTCTTAACCTGAAACTGTTCTTAACCTGAAGCACCACTTTAGCTAATGGGGCCTCCTGCTGCTGCCGCGCATCCGGAGCACAATTTCTGTTCTTATCCTGAAGCAAAGTTTTTAACCCGAGGTAATATTTATGGGTTAGCGAAGTCTGTAACCTGAAGTGTATGTAACCTGAAGCGTATGTAACCCGAGGTACCACTGTATAAATCTTGATCGGATCATAAACAAATAAAACAGAATAAATACAAATAGCTGGCTAGTCTCAAACGATATTAAAAGTTGAAGGCAAGTATCATTACATAGACATTTAAGGCACACAGGCCCGAATTCTGGGAACTGGAGTTTATCACTCACGGACCTGCAATTCGCAGTTCCCAGGATCCTTTGGGGTGGAAATGTGCTTTAAGTTTATGGTGTGCGTGCAGCCAAAGATAAATTTTCCTCCATATAGTGTCAGAAATATAGTCAACTGATTGCATTGCTGCCTCATTTGAAAGGACAGGAACCAGTAGAGCTCAGAAGTATAGAGCATGCTTCTCAGTCCCTTCAAAAGCTATCTGTAGGTAATCTAAACTCAACTGCTTCTTTCAGTCCAACACTGCTATCTAAAACTTTGATACAATGTTTGGTACATTGGATTCCAGTGATGGTAGAAAGTAGATACATAATTACAGTGGAGCCTTGGTTGTTGAACGTAATCCATTCCGGAAGACCGTTCGACTTCCCATTAGACAACCAAGGCACAATGGGCCGTCAGCAAACTCAATTGAGAAAATTGAGAAACGTGCCTTGGAAGCCATTTGAGATCTGAGGCGTGTTCGATAATGGAAGCAATTACTTCCAGGTTTTCAGCGTTTGGGTTCTGAAACGTTCGGCTTCTGAGACAATCGAAAATGGAGTGTCAGGGAACTGACATCGGAGCCAGAGGCGGAGGCT